AAAACCGATCACGTTTGGGGGGGGGGGGGGTCAATTTGACCCTGGCGTACTTCGTTCTCCAAAGAAGACACTTTGTTTCTCTCAGAAACAAAGCAAAACCCCCAAATCCACTGTACTGTAAAACGACTTTGAACTACTCTGTACGTTTATCCCGTCTGGAGGAAATTCCATATTTGGGCTCCTTATCCGAAGCCAAAAGTGTCCGATTTGGATCTTCAGCTGGACAGTGATTTGAAATTGGACCGGCAAATCGGTGCTGTTGTCCAATCCAGCTTCTTTCATCCGAGGCTAAAGTGAAGCCTCTCCTTTCTCTGGTGAGCACTTTGAAAGAGGCATTCATGCCGACCGGATTACTGTAAGGCACTTTCCTTTGGAGTCAGCCAAAAGATGTGTAAACGGCACTTCCTACTGCTTCACTGCCACCCGGTGGCCAAAGAAATCCACCGTCCTAAAAAAGCCACTTCAGAGTGCCGCTTGATTTTCCGAACCGTCTCCTCATCACATGCGGTTCTACGGCGCCGCTGACCGTCACTGCAAATCCTCCAATCTCAATCGCAAACGGGGGCTCCCACCCGGCCCTGAAAACCACTTTGGCCCCCCCACCTCTTCGCCGCGGTAACAAATGAAAGTAACGAGACTGCAGGATTTAAACGGTGGAAACAAGAGCCTGCAGCGAAGAGTAAATGCAGTCAGGGGAGGGGGGGTAGGGGGGGGAGGTCTGAAATGACGTCTGAGAGGGAACATGGGAGTCAGGGGATATGCTAGAAGTGAGAATGAGCACTTGGTCATTAGTCTTATGACTGAGCCATTACAAGCTGACTGCTCTGGATTGTTGTGAAAAGCATTTGAGCGGGATTATGACTTACTAGATCCCAGATGTGTAGACGGGCTGCATTGCCTGGTATATTTTCAGGAAAGGACGGCATCCTGAGGGAAGGGGGAGGAGGGGGGGGGAGAAGGGCGTGGCAGCCATTTGTGAGCATTTGCGGAATCTTTTTCCATGCGAACGCGCGGGAGCCGCGTACCTCCTTTGGACTCAAAGTCGGGAATGCCGTGCATGATGACATGGTGAAGAAACAGCGGTTTGTTGTTGATCTTGATGTGTCCGCTGAGCAAACCGCTGAAGTACTCCACATACCTGCAGGGTACACGTGCAGTTAGCGATGCTAAATTAGCAGTGAGCAGTGACACTTCAAACTAGATGCACGTGTCGGACACGAGTCAGGCAGGCACATTTGCTTAAACGGTCGCGATGTGACAGAACTTTTTAGAGATCAATTAACTTCACCCTGTTATGACATCACGGGTCAAAGTAACCCGTATTTTTTTTTTGGGGCGGGGGGTATGAACAGCAAGCATGATCCTGGGCGGATCGAAGTGTAATGGAATAGTGATCATAAAATGAAGAATCGATCAGAGAAAAAAACTTTGTCGGAGCTCCCTTGCGATGTGTTCTAATCGACACGTCGCAAGGAAGCAGGGACAGCTCTGACGAAGGCTGAAGCTGTCAGCTTGGGAAGAATTTTTATTTCCCCCAAAAAGAAATCCTTCAACCCGATTCAACCAGCCTCAGCTCGAGCGCCAGGCTGCATTTTCAAGTGCTGGCCGTGCCAACTGAGGCCAGCAAGAGAAGCAGACCTGACCGCCCTGGACCGACTTTTGCAAATGCTCCGCGTTGTTCAATGTTTCGCACCCATTTCAGATCATTCGACAAGCGATCGTGATTGCTGTTTCTGAGAAACACGGGGAGCAGCGAGCGTTCCGGACAGACGTGTCTTTGCGGGAGGCTCCGTGCGCTCGTCGACATTAACGAGCTGACCTTCTCTGAGAGGGCTGACCCACAGGAACCACTTTGTCTTCATAGAAGCGCTTCATGGCAAATCTGTCCAGAGCCTGGTCAGCGCTGCATCGCGCACACAAACACACACACACCATTACACACAATGCAAAAGTGATTTGCAGCAAACAAGAACCGAACGAAGGGCACGGCACAAGTCTGAGCACCCACCTGGCGGAGATGTTGCTGTAGTGCATAAAGGCCGCCACCACGACTCCCGTTCTGCCTCTGTTGCCCTGAAAAACCATCAGACAGATGAGAGATGGTTTATGCTGCGGCTCTAATTGACCCATGTGGATGTTCGAAATTTTCTATTAAAAAAAAAAAAAAAAAACACGCAAGCATTGTTCCAAGAAAAGCCCCGCAATGATCCTCTTGGAACTATGGTATGAGAGGGAGAGCACACAATGCCGTTTGAAATGGTTGCTGCTGGTGTTCATCATCAGACATATGAATCACCAATTGGATTTTTTCATTTTGACATTTCTGATACTTTGGAATGGCTCAACATTGCTTTGGGTCAGATCGGCTCAGGAACATTTTTGCTGTTCCTGAGGAACAAAGGCAACTGGTCCAAATCGCCAAATGTGAGTGAGTCTAAATACTAAAAGTTGGTTTCATGCCCCATTTTCATAGCCCCCCCCCCAAAAAAAAAAACCTTCATAATGCCGTCTCATTTATTCGATAGATGTGACATAACAACACATGGCCAGCGGACACCCCGACGCAATCTCCCTGCTTGGTGACAAGTAGCCAAACTTGCAATCCCACAAGAGAGCGTGTTACTCAACGGCCTAAACAAACAAGGCCAGTCGCCACGGCAACCGCCTTATTTGTAACCTCCCCCCACGGGGAGATTCTTGGAACAAGGGAGCAGTGGTTTGCGATGTCGGTGCCAACGATGACATTATAAATGACATCTTCCAATCAGGGACTAATTTGGGACGCGGGGACCGGTCGTTGTCTTTCCAAACGGCTCTTCTGGCTCCTGCTGGCGCAACGACGAGCGCGGTTTGCCACATGAACATGATGCGACGCTTCAGCAGTCACGGGAAAATATTGGTCAGTTCCGTCGTCAAAGTGTAAAATTGGGAGAGGGATCGTTTTGTGCGGCCTGCGCGCCACAAACTCCTGCCTGCAGGGACGGTTTCGCACAAGCAATAAACTACTGCGGGTGGGGGGGGCCAAGGAAAGCCTACAGGAGACACATATCGCGCAGGAGGCAGCTCGGTTTGAAACAGTGACTTCACCTTTAATAGCTTGCATATAAATACAGTAAACGGCCCATCCATCGCCAGGGTTGCATTCCCGACCACTCGTGCAATGAGACCAGTCTGACTTCTCCAAATCCCCGCGAGGCGTGTTGAAATAGCGGTGACGGCACCGAGTCCGAGGAAAAAGTCGGCCAAATCTCACAAAACTCGAGAGTCCAGTCACTTGTACCTCAAGGCACGTCCGCCGTTGGAGTCCCATTTGTGTACACTTCAGGTTCAAGTGCATGTCGGGCTGTTTGACTGCCGCTTCCTCTGTTTGGCCTTCCCCCTCCTCCTGATCTGGAGAGGGGGCGAGGGCGACGATGACCCCACCTGCGGCCCCTTCTCAAGGTTTTTCTTTTGTTTTGTTTTTTTCATTTTTCCTTGCCCTCCTGGGGGTTAAGGTCAGGGGATCTCGCCAATACTTGCCAATTGTGGGCACGTGAAGCCCTTTGAGACTGTTTGGTGGTTAAGGGTGATCGAAATAAATGCGACTTGACTTTTTCCCATTTTGTGGCGCGTTCACGCCAAGCGTCTGCTGACGAGCCATTTTGCGTCATCCGCCATGTGACAAGCGTGCGGATGGGATTTTGTCACGCGGCCTTACCTTGTTGTGTATGACCACCACGTTGCGGCTGTCTGCGCTCAGCCACGTGTCCATGGCCTTGCAGATGCTGCAGATCTTTTCCAGGGCTGGCGCGTGATGGTCGGGCCAGCCAAAGTCCAACACCTGTCCGGCGAGCGGGGGCGGCGAGGTGTCAGGCCACGTCGGGCAGAAGGGCAACGCCGGCGTTCGGGTTTACCTTGGAGTGAAGCTCGCTGATGTCGTAGCGTTTCTCGCTGAGGTTGAAGAGCTAAGGAGGGGAGAAGATAAGTGAGCCGTTATTGCGCTTTTGTGGGCGGGGCGGGGTTGAGGCTTGCGTTCGTCGCGGCTGCAATCGAGTCGGGATCGTACCAGGTAGTTGTGGCCATGTTTGGAGCGCAGCATGGAGGCGACCTCGCGCAGGTTGGCGGCGTAGCTGGGCTCCTCGGCGCCGCTGGGGAACGAGACGGCGATGATCCTCTCTGTGATGTAGAGCAGGTCCAACTCGTAGCTCTCCTCCAGGGACTGCAGCAGACTCACGCTCCTGCTCACACGCACACAAAAAAAAAAAACGGAGCGCTTTCGAGGCTATTTGGACGTCGCTGTTGTTTTTCTTTTTTTTTTTTTTAACCAGCAATATTTCTGGGTCAAAACGACCCGCTCCGTTTAAGCATCCCAAAAAAGACAAATAACCTAAATATTGTAACGGAAGCAGAAAATGCTTTTTGCGAAGATGATTGCCAAATTCCAATTGGGTCAGGAGGGCTAAAATGACGACGCGGAGGCTTGGAGTCGCCTCTTGAACGTGATGTCAACAAGTCGAGCTAATGGGAGGTGGGGAGACGGCGCTGGAACGGCGGGCGCGTAGCAAGAGGAGACCCTTCGCACTCGGAAAGCTTGATATTTCCCACATTGGTCATCTGCGAGCAACCCACAGGAAATTGCTCATAACATGTCGGGGGAGCTGGCTGGTCCCGCTTTTACTGTCCAACAAAACGTGCTCCACATCTGGAGCCACTCGAAGTGCCGGCTGGAACTTCTTCATCGCCAGACAAATATTCCCAGCATCAAATTGGAGTACAATTTGCTCCCTCATGCTTTTCGCTTTGGTCCGAATTTTTTTCTTCTGCAGGATCGCAGTCGACCGCTGCCTGCGGGCGCTTCGCTCGTCACCAGGTGGCGATTTTCTTTGGGATGCCACAAGACGGCGGAAAAAGAAGAAGAAAGTCTGAACTGGTGTGAAGGGAGTATCGTTGACGTGATGCATCTCGACGGAGAGACGAGCTTTGTATGCGAGGGCGGAGCCAAGTTTGGTCTGTCCTGTGACGGCGTGTGTTTGGCACATGCGCTTTTTGGGGCATTTGCTTTTTCATCCCCCTCATCTGTGCGACATTTATTTGGAAGCGTATTGATGTCAGATGAGTTTGAAAACGAGATGTTTCAGGACCACAGTTTGTGCCTTGAGTTACGAGTTTAACTTGTTCCATGGCCATGCTCAGCTCTCAAAGCACTCGCACATGTTTTTTGTAAAATGAAAATAGTACTCTATAGTACTGTACTTCCTGAAATCATCGAGTAATACCATCATGATATAGAATGTAAAGAACGTAAGCGGTTTTGATTGCGGTCAATGGCCATCTGTTGCTCCTTGGCCACCGGAGGGCAGTGTAACGCAGGACGGAGATGGCTTCAGCCACTCAGAAAGCATCAAGAACATCGTCGCTCTTTGGAGAGGACAAAGAATGTATGCCGGTGAGCATTCAATTGCTGTCAGATTTTCCCCATTCTCATCCATCGACGGGATTTCATCGGAACCATTGCGCAATGTTGGAATCCTCTTGAAAAGCAGCATAACGATGAAGTGTCCGATGCTTTGTTTTGCAAGCACGAAATAACTCTTTGATTAGCTGTGAACGTTGAGTCAAGTTCAACACAAAAGTTCATGAGTGACGATCGAGTAAAGTCAGGCGTGGAAATTGCAGCTCCACTTCAGGGTGTTTTGTTTCTAAAAAGGCCTGGCTGAATAAAAATAGATAAATAAATAAATATAAAATTTACATCATCTCTTTTCTATCAGTATGAGTTCTTTCTCGGGAAGAGCACTCATGTTTCGGGGTCAATTTGACCGGCAACTTAAGGGGGGTTTGTGAATTCTGCCCATTGACCACGGGTGAAGAAAAATACGGATGCTACCTGGAAGCCCTGCGGCGTGACTCCGTGCTTTTGGAGGATTTCGTCGAGCCCTGGAAAGCACAAAATCAAGACAACCACATCAATCTTCCTTCGGATCAACGCCAACGCAGTCACTTGCTGGCTGGACAGTCGGCAACAAACAACCGCATTGCTGCAGCCGAAGCTCTGTCAAATAGAAAAGTTAGGACTTTGGCCCCATCGTGGAACATCTTGATGCCAAGGAAAAATGCTCATCAGCGTTTCATACTGGAAAAAAAAGTCATTCATTTCTGCACTTGGGTCAATTTGACGCACAACATAACACGCCCTCCTCTCATGTTGCATGTGTCATATTATGCTCGGACGGTAAACAGCAACACAACCGTTGGGCCCGGAGCAATGCCCAATCAAGTAAGGAAACGTTTCCAGAAGGAAAAATAAAATGCCCATATAAACATGGTCTATGTTTCGATACGAGCCAAACAAAACTTACACAGCAAAAAAACTATTACGGAACAGAATTGTATTTACTGGGTCGATTTGACCCGCAACATAAGAAAGCCTGCCGTTATGTTGCATTTGTCAAATCACACTATGATAGGAAACAAAAACAACAACAGCATCAAATACTGGACATCAAAAACATGGACCTTCCTCGTCAATTTTTCTCGTGCATCGCAATGGTATCGCGGGTAACTTTGACCTGGGACGTCCAAAACCGGTAAAAAAAAAAAAAAAACAAATGAACATTGATCACGTGTCATGATTGTTAACCTAGCAGAAAATTTGACCCAGAGTGTTTTCAACAATCCTGCCCACCTTCCGGAATACGTAGCCCGTGCTCCATCGCCATGCCCCTCTGAGGGAGGAGAGCCGCCTTCTCAAGGAACCTTCTCCGCTCATCTCCGGCCGCAAAACTTTTTCCTCCAGCGTGTGGCGGCGACTCACGCGACACGAAAGGGCCCCCCCATTTTGCTGGCTTCACTGCGAATCCTGCGGCCGTCGCCGCGCGTCGTTCTTTGCCGTTCCTCCGTACGCTCCTCGTCAACCCCTTCTGGTTTCGCCCACCCCTCTCTCTCTCTCTCTCTCTCTCTCTCTCTCTCTCTCTCTCTCTCTCTCTCTCGCTTTCCCGGCCCCTCCCGTCCGGTCTCGCATCTCCTTATCTCTTCACCCGCCGGCGCGCTCGCATCCACGCGGCCGCGTTTGTATCCTGTGTCTCATTATGTTGATTTGTCGTCCCTCGTCCCGTTCCATTCTGTCCTTGTCCGATGGTCCTGTCACGTGTGCATTCAGCAACCCAGACCGCCCCCTCCCTCACCCCAAATAAAGCGACGGACTTTGGCACCGAGGCGTGGTCATCGGAGAGCGAGCCCCCCGAGGCTGAGGCCGAGCCCGCGATGCTCTCGGATCGACGGGAGCGGCTGCGCGCACGTGAAAATGCGCGCGAGCTCATGCGTGTCGACTCTCAACATGCGCCAACGTGGGATTGGACAACGCGTGTGAATGCCGCGCAGAATCGGAAGGGCAGAGGCGTTCCGGCTGCTCGAACCTCCCCGAGGCCGTCGCGCCGACCACGTTGTGAGCCCATCGCTCAGAAGCACTTCGAAAGACAGACGAGCGCTCACTGAAGCAACGGTGAGTCGCGATGAGAACTCGCAGGTGCCGGTGCACCTGCGTCAACCGGGCGTGTACGTCCCGGTTGAAAAGGAAAACAAAAACGAGTCCTCCTATGCTCCTGCTGAACATTTCCTTTCGGCGCTAACTTCCCACAATCGTGCGGTTTTGACAAACTTGTGATCTCTCGCGGGCGGGATGACACTCAGCTGAACTTTTCCCGACTTATGCGGTGAGGAGGTTTCAAATCGAAAGCAGACGCATTTTGCCGCTCGCAAATCAGCTGCTCGTGGCGCTGCGTGTCGTATCGCGCCCGCGTTAGCAAGCCCGTCGGCCGCGGTTCCGCCGCCGCGACTTTGCCTTTGCTTTGCTTCCACGGTCACGTGACGCCATCCTCCCGGAGCTCAAGCGAACGGCGCCGCGACGTGCCATTCGAGCGACTGAATTGACAATTGGAGCGGCATTAAGCGCTAATGCGGCAAGGGCCACTCAGCGTGCTCCGAGGTTAAGGAACTTGATCTGAGGCGTGGCTGCTCTTTTGTTGAGCGCATTGTACGAGGGCCCAACTGCCTGCTTTATGTGTTTCCTGAAAAAGAAAAAACTGCACTGAAGCAAGCAGCAGAAGCTTCCAGTATGAGTTTTAATCAGTGGCAGGCTGCATGTAGGGTACCTCGGCCTTCAGTGAGAATTTATCTGAATTAAACCACCTTTTAATACAGTGCTGCCCTAAGATACAAGTGACCCAACTCACCATTGTTTCGAGATACAAGCCATTGTTGGGCTATTTTTTTTTCTCTGACCAAAGCACTAATTTAAGGTAGGAGTGCTGAATGGTGGCTGTGAACTCAACTTAACTCACATCACCAGCAGAATTGGCAAATTAGTGAACAATTGTTCCCAAAAAAGAGCCTGTTCGACTCCGTCTTCAAGTTTACTGTCAAATTAAATATGAAAAAAAGAGAATTGCACTGAGAAAAAAAATGATGTGATGAAGTTACTGAATTTACTCCATTTTATTTCGTGGCACACAATAGAATCATCTGGATTCAGATGCATTTTTTTTAAGTGGATTTTTTGACTCCATTTTATTTCGTGGCACACAATAGAATCATTTGGATTCAGGTGCATTTTTTTAAGTGGATGTAGAAAGTACTTGAAAGTAAAGATCTGGATCCAAACAATTTTATTTCGGGCGACCGCTTGATGGGAAAAAAAAAAAAGGAGTGCATTTTGTTTCCGTGCAGCAGCGGATGGACAGCAAGCTCACGGTTGACCTTTGCTCCACGAGCCCAGTGCCAAAATGAATACATTTCAGTCGGAAAGACTGGAAATTATTGATGAGATGGAAAAATAAATCAATAAAAATCATAATAATCAAGTTGTTTGTGTGGCGGGCATAAAAAAGGAGTGCATTTTGTTTCCGTGCAGTAGCGGATGGACAGCAAGCTCACGGTTGACCTTTGCTCCACGAGCCCAGTGCCAAACTGAATACATTTCAGTCGCAAAGACTGGAAATTATTGATGAGACGGAAAAATAAATCAATAAAAATAATAATAATCAAGTTATTTGTGTGGTGGGCATCGCACGTAATGTTGAGCTGCAAATAGATGAGTCAGACAGAGACACGGAGAGGCAGCTGACGCCTGAGCAGCTCCATGCACGAAAGTCATGAGACAGTTAGGATTGCTTTAAAGGGCAAGCTGCATGCAGACGTGTCAGTTGATGTGAACTTGAAGTGCAGTAAACTGGGCGGCAGGAGCTCATCTGGAAGGATTTGGACTTTGTAAATCCTCTCCCGCTGCGGACAGCATGTAAAATCTAAAACGAGCCGTCGAGGGCACTTGAGCATGCGCCGCCCGAACCCTCGCCCTCCCCCCCATTAATCCCCCGCACGGCAGCTGAGTGTGTATTGATTTTAGCCTTGGGGGGATTACAATGACATGAACATTTGAATTGAAATATTATTTTTTTAAAAATGAAGTCTCACCAGGCCACCGTGGACGTCCACCACGCCAAGCTGAGGATGTCAGCGACGGATGGCCTGAAAGAGCCGCGCCGGAATGAGGATGACGCTCGGCATTCCTGTTTGTGTAAAAAGCGTTCGGGGACTTTGGTGACTAAATTGAGGAGTGAAATTACAGTCTGGCTGAGGAAGGACGGGAATACACTTTTTTTAATTTATTTTTTTTAGCACACCCAGACCAGACCGCGAACCAGTAAGCAAAACCTCGGCCTCCCTGTCTGGGCCAGTGATTGCCAAACAGCTCGGCTCCAAACACCTCTTACAGGCGAGGCCTTTTTCCCGCAACATAACTGTAAACGTGGACCCTCTTAAATGCCACACACACGAAAAAGTTGCTTCTTTCCAAGTCAAAATGAGTTGTGTCATCCAACCATCCATTTTCTGATCCGCTTCTCCTACGGAGGCTCGAGGGCGTGCCGGGAAGCTTATCCCAGCGGAGTTCGAGCAGTAGGCGAGGGACACCCTGAACCGGTTGCCAGCCGATCGCACACGAAGACGAACAAGCAGTTGTGCTCACAATCACACTGAGGGACCATTTCGAGTGTTACAATTCACCTGCCGCGCGTTTTTTTTGGGGAATGCGGGAGGAAATCGGAGTAGCCGAAGAAAACCCACCCAGGAACGGGGAGAACATGCTAACTCCACACAGGGAAGTCCGGAGCCCGGAATCGACCCCTGCCCCTCTGCCCCGTGAGGCCGACGTGCTAACCCGTCGCCCGCCGTGCCGCCCGAGTCGTGTCATGAAAATGAAACCAAGAACAAAGAGGTGTTTTGTCGCAAATAACAGTTGTCATTTTAAACAATCCAGAGAAAACGATCTGATCTTCAGTTGAACAAATGAAGACGCAGAAGACGCCAGCTCCAGGAATTTTTTTTTTTTGGTTTGATTTTTTGCACATGTAATGGCCGGCATTTTTCACAGCCCCACTTTGGTTGCGGAGATGTCGGCGCTGTTGGACAGTCTGCATTGGCGGGGCTGGACGGATGGCTGCTGGAGCCGAAGACGACGACAGAGCGTCGGCGTGCGGAGCGGATGCGTGTGTGGAACGGAGAGTCGCCGCTTGGAATTTGATGTACTTATGATTATGATATTTTTTGGTACTCAAATGCTGTCAGCTAAAACACCGGAGACGGCTAACAGGACGCGCGTGTTGTTGTCGCCGATCCTTGAAATGAAGTAAACTGCTTTTAGCGTCAAACGGATGCGCTAAAAGCAGCGAGTGGAATCGCTGGCGGGCCGCGACTTTGCCGCCACAGGCATTCGGACACAAATAGAGCCATTGTGTTTCCAGCCGGCAAAAGGCAAAACACGCTGTCTCTCTCTCATAAGCGGCTCGTCTGACGTGCGCATTTGCGCTTTTGCGATTGCAGCCAGATGCTCGCTGTCTGAGTCCGCGCGTGTCTTTGTGCGTGTGTGAGCACGTGTGGAGATTGGATCAAAACGAACCATATGGGTTGGGCCTCGTGGGTCGTACATGCGGAGCGGCAAAGCAGTGTTGCAGCATGGAAGGATGGGATGCGGCGCGCGCGCGTGTGTGTGTGTGTATATACACTATGGCGATCCCACGTGGCGAGGTGGCGTGCAAAAGCAGTGTGGTGGTGAGAGTATGGATCAAGTTTAATGTCCATGCAAATTTCCTGAATTGGTGCAGTGTTTTTCTTGCAAAAAAACTGTTATTTTACGATCAACGTGCTCTTTTTTGGTTGTTTGTTGTTATTTCGTAGTAAAGCATCGTTTAGCTATTTGAGTTATCACAAATACAAAAAGAAAAAAAAGTGGCGCGTGTGGGACTGGAGTGACCCGATAGCATCACCACCAGGTTGCAATTGTATTTAAAAAAAAAAAGAATAATAACGATGAGCGGCATTTTGACGATGAATGGCGTCGCGACTGAAGCGAGAAACAAAGTTCAACCTTTACTCTCCGATATCTCCCTTCCAAACCTCAACACTCCAACAAAGCACTTCACATCCATGAATCGAAGACTACTTAGCTCATCTTGACCAATCAGAGGACGAGCGAGGCAAAGAGAGCTGAAGGTGAAATCTGATTGTTTGAAAACCAACCAAACAAACAAACGGCCATTGGCGATATTGTGGATGTCAGATGCCAGCACTCGCAATTCTGAAGGTCCTGGGCAGATTCCACCGACACGGCAACACACAGAAGCCGTCATCTGACGGCAACAGATACCTGGACGCAATCCAATTATGCGGAGTTCATTGACAACGTTGGAGAGAAACAACCGTTGCATAATCATTTGCGAGGCCGTGCGCTCGTGAGGCACAACAAAATGCTGGTCAGAGTTGGAAAATCCCGCCTGATGCGGATGAAATCACGAGATTACGCCTTGCGATTGAGCAATCCCGTTCAAATCGGTGGCATGAGGTGCCTCTTGTTTTTCACCAGCAGGGGTGGGGGGACGAGGGGAGGTCCCGTCCAGAATGCCTTTCAGCCACCGCATCTTCATCTTCGTCGCCAGCGTGCCATGTGCTTCCCTTTCACACAAACACAGAAGCTCCTTTGAGCGGGCAAATTACAGCCCACTTGTGGGCAAAAAGCAGCAGCAAGACGCCGGGAGTTTCCTCCTCCCTGACTTCTGCAGGAATACACCAAGAGCCGGAGCACAGCCTCTCTTGAGGGGGGGGGCATCCGGGGCTAAATATACAGCGTTTCATCTTGAGCTGGGCCCAGCCTGCTCACTGGGGAACGGCGCTGTGGTTCAAATCCCCACTTTGGGCCTCGGCGCGTGGGCGTGACCGAGGCTCGCGCACAGCGGCCCTTTGTCAAGTGTTAAAAGTTCATTTTTGAGACGCGCAACTTTTCAAAATAAAATGCGGCCAGATATAATGACACCTTTCCTTGGCGTTTCATGTTGTCATTGCAAGAACGCGCCGCAGCACGGCGCGTCGTCGAGCGGGGCCACACGCATCGGCTTCTGGCGGTGGACTCAAACCTCACGCCGGTTTTAGAAAAAGACAAATGCGGCAGCGGGCTGCGCCCGACGGCTGCCGTGACGAAGCCAAGCGACGGTGAAGGGCGCCCCTTGCGCAAAAGGTCCGTGGCTCCTCCCCTCCCTTTCTCGGCTTCATTCAAAACACACACGAGTAACCGATGTGATTGTTTGGAGTCGCTCTCGTAGCGGTCTAGACAACAAGCCACCGGAACAAAATAGCGGGCGGTAACGCTGGACGTGATTTTTTTTTTTTTTTTTAGGCTGGGGCACAAAGGAAGCCTTGTTGCCATTTTTCTCTCTCGGGCGAATGAATATGTCCGAGGGCGCGGCTAATAGTCATGTTTTCCTCCAACCGGCCTCTCGGGTGATTCCAGTGATGACGTCATCGCACTTCTGGGGGAAACGGTTTGCAACACCCCAAGAAAGTCAGATGATGCTCAAGTATTTTCCATCTGAATCCTTGCCAGGAGGCGGCGTAAGGATCTGCAATTGTGCTCAAGAGCTCCCCATAGTGGACGGAAAATAAACTGCAGTGTGCGCCAGTGAGGCCCACTGCAACTGTGGCTTGTTCTGGAAAGGTGAGCCTTGTGCCTGTGGGCGGCTCGCTATTTGCCTTCCACGGCTCCTTGGTGAGAGTTTTCACCAAAATGGCCGCTTTGGCCTCATGCAAACTGCAAGAGCCACATTACAAGAAATACAAATGATCATTCCCTCCAATAACATGTAGCGCGTCATCAAACTCCATTTAAAAGATGAACCTTGAAAATAGATGGCTGACAGATCAAAAATGGATTCAGCAAAAACGCCACCAGAGGCTCTGCGTCGCCAGACGGGCGAAAACGCGCTTCTTGAAGACAACAGTGCTACTTTCTAATTTCGAGAGGGCGTTGGTGCCATCTTGTGAAAGAGCACGCACAAAAACAAGGATGAATGATGATGGATGAGTTCCCAAAATCAACACATAAATAAATAGCTGGGTTCCCAAATCGGGATTATTCCATGCATCCATAAATTGGGAGGTAAAACAAACGACGTCAAAAGGCCAACAGAAGAATCGGGCTTGTTTTTTTTTTTTTTTTTTTTATTCTGTGTTTTATGAACGACGAACACAGCACAAATGGCAACTTAACAGCGACAATAAATTGTCAGCGCTGCCAGAGTGGGACTGATTCCATGCGCTGTTTGGATAAGATTTGTCCATAAAAAGTCAAAGGAATAAGCAGAGGCAAAATTCCGAGCGTAATGTCAACATTCCCAACATTTTCTTGTTTATAAGACACCCATGCCGAAATCCGTCCGCAGGCAAATCGTTTGTCCGAGCGCGCGCAGAAGAAGGCCTTGGCAAGTGCGTCCAGAGCGAGAGCAACAAACACGCAGCCGCTCCCCTCTCATGCGTCCGCAGCGCTCCCGCCGCCGTGCGCGGCCCACAAATGTCAGCGCAGCGCGTTGCGAGCGCGTGCGCGAGTCGGGTTCCCATCCCCTTCGGTTCAACTTTGGAATCCCTCGGGGCCCTCCCACAAAGACAAGCGCAGAGCGCAGCCTTCTTCTCTGTGGGAAAAACTTGAGTGTGGCAAGCTCAACGTGCGACCCCAAAATAACTTTGGGTGTTTTTGCTGCCTCCAATGGACTCGGTCGGCCGTCCCTCTTCTGCGACCGAAAAGCCCGATGGGAGTCGCCAAGGGAATTTGACGACAAACCCTCAAGGAAATGTGCGCATGTAAACTCTGTCAACTCACTAACCGTCAATTCCCGCCCCCAGTGTCCGTCTTGTATGGCAGCGGTCTCCAACCGCCGGTCGGCGGCCCGTTGGCCACTGGGCCGCACAGCGACGGAACAAGATCTTTTTTTTTTGCTATTTGGACAAGACAAGCTCCGACCCCTGCGGTATCTCCACAGCGACATGGAGGAGGAAGTCGGTTGCGCCGCGGCATGTCGTCAAAATCAAGACAGACTTTGCGCAGCCCGCCCACGTAAACATTTGCGGTTTCGTCGCCAAAAACCAGCCGGCAGCCACCGGATCAAAGCAGCAATCAATCGTGTCGCATTTGCGAGTCGCAACGATGCCAGTCTATGCAAAACTTTGAACGTCTTCATGCCTAACGCATCTCTGCCTTTCAATGGTTTGGCTTGTTTTGTTTTGGTTTGTTGTCCTTGAATAGCATGTTCGTGCGTCATTAGCATCAGCATCTTTGCGTGAAACGTAAGACACGTTGGGAAACGTTCCTTGGGAGCAAAGGAAAGTGCAGAGGGCGGAGTGCGCGTGCGCGCGTGTGTGTGCGCGCGTGAACGTGTTGTTGTTGTAGAGGGCTATATTTGCTCGGGTTTGTCAAGCATCCAAAAGCTTTCAAATGCAAAACATGCAAGAAAGAGGTTGAGCGGCCAGCCCGTATCCCCCGCCGCACACGGCGGCCGATGACCAAAAAAGGCAAAGTGGCCGGGGTGTTTGGACTTGCCTTCAAATGCGCTTCATACTCGCACTCCATCCCGCTTCCATAGTGAGCTGAAAACATGTCATCGGCGTACGGCGCATTCCCGGAATGCACTCGACTCGCCGCGCTTTGACAGCACCCAAAGTTGCGAGCTCCAAAAAGGTGGCTTCGCCTGGTGTTGGCAAAAGCTTTCGATGTGTGCCTTGAGAGGAGAAGATTGCTTGCGTCGCGGCTCGGCCACTCGAGGAAATTTGAAGAATTCAACTTTCGGCGATAGTTTTGCTAGGATAGTACGCCAAGTTGAACATTTTCTCCAACAGCGCTACTTGTCGCTGCACTCTGAGGTGAAAATGTTTTGTTTTGTTGTTTTTTTTTAGTCCTTTAGTACAGATATTCACATTTGGTAGCAACCACCCACACAAATTCTCCATATTGACATTTTTTTTTTTTTTTTTTTTTTTTTGTGGCTCTACTCATGCAGACAGGCCTGCCAAATTTCAATGCGGTCAAGTCAAACTGGCTTTGCAAGACGGATTTATAAAGCGCCGTTGAAAGTTTGTCGACAAAATGGCGTTGGTCTTGGCAAAGAGCGCCGCACATGGACACGTTGGACCTTGAAATGGCCGCTTCAAAAGCAAAACGGCTGACTTGATGTGCCTTCTGCACCACGGCTTCTTGAGCCTTTTTTTTTTTTTAATCTGTCTGAGCACTCGGGTGTTAGGCCTGCCAAACTTCCTGCCGCTCAGTCAAACAATTCTCAGTGGCTCGACTACTGGGAAAGGAGTCAAAGTAGGTATTCGTCAGAACACTCAATCATTTGGAGAGAGGACAAACGGACAAACGGACGCCCATCAGGGGCGCCGATCCGAATCACTGTTATTTTTCAACCCAAAATGTTGCCCACTGGAGGGCACAGCCGTGACCACCCGCCACTTCGACGACACGCCGCGAGTGGCCGCGACTCCGTTTGACAGCCGACAAGTTTCAGGGACAAAGTTTGCCCGCTTCGTCTCCAATGCTGTGCCGCCTTTGCGCTTCTCATCAATCCAACGCGTCCCGTATAAACATCTCAAGGCTGCTGAATACGCAATGTTCGTTCCAAAGAGGTCGGTCGGATGGAACCCTTTTCGGATTTTTTTTTGTTTGTTTTTTTTCATGCAGTGCCACAACTCCAACAAGTTGGTGCGCCCTTTCTGATGAGTCTGTTGAGGTCGTCAGTATTTCGAAACGGCCTGTCCAATGAAAAGTGATGAAAACGTCGTTCCTTCCTACCGTTGCGATCGCAATCCTTTTGGTTCGGAAATTTGAAACACCCACGAGCTTGTCGAGCCACGAAGAAGCTGATCAAACGGCAGACAATGTGCAAGGGGAAAGACAAACCGGGGCCCATTTCGGCGCAAAGGATAGCTGACTTGAAACAAAACTTCACTTACCAGCTCATAGTTGCTCACCGGAACACAAGACGAAGACACCTAAAACAAGAAGAGGAGTTGGTCAGAAAAACAACTTTTGTCGACATCTGCACTTTCTCAGTCAACAAAGCAGCGGCGCCGGCTCGCGGCTCTGCGGCCCCAAATAGTTGCCGCGGGCCGGATGGCGCCTCCAGCGGCGAGGGGGCGTCCGCCTGACAATATCCACCCACTCAAAACCATTGAAGAGCAGTTTTGAGAAACAGCGACAACAACGACAAAAAAGCTATTGCAGCCTCTTTTTAAAATAAACCGCCTGAATGGTGAAATGACAATGTTTCAAAGTTGTCCTCACCGCAGCGTGATTACAGGGCGAGGGAACGTTCCGAACAACACCACGACAAGGGCCCGCTTGATATCTTTTCCGCTGAATCCGCCATCCGTCCATCCTTCCCTTCGCTGCCGAGACGCAGCGATGAAAAAAAAAAAGGAAGCAAAGGATGATCCGACGAGCGTGCTTCGACACGATGGCGCACGCGCGACTCTCGGGACCGACGGACAGGAAGAGTGTGGCGATAATGGCCTCCGGCGGGAGACGCGAGCCAGGACCATCAAGACAAATAGCGAGCGATGTTTCCTGTCTGGAAACATCTTGTCCCCGTTTTTTTTTTTTTTTTCTGTCATGGAGATTGAAATCCAAGCCAGCCATCCAATTTGCGGTAGATTGTCCGCTGGGGCTAATATAGCTCAGCAAAACCAATCAATCGAACATCGATTTGGCAGGTCGCGACTCAGCCGCCGACATTGACGGAAAAACTCGGAGAAATGAAAAAGGATGGACGCGGGTCATCTGTAGACTCGATACGATCGCGATTTTTGGGGTGGCTCGTGATGTATGGCTTCAACGTCCCTCCTTGGCACCCGTTGCTACTTTCCTAATCCCTCGGGGCTTTGAACACACGGGGCTGACCCGAAAGGATCTTTTGTGTCATATGTGTGCGATGGAACCAAATGATTGCGATGAACAAAAACACTTGCGGGCACGGTGGAAAAACTAAATCCGAAGCACTAAGAGCATCCTGAACCCCCCCCCAAAACTCAAAGTCACAACAAAACACACCACTGGCCCAGACAAAACAAGGTGACGGCAAGAGAAACAAAAAAACCTGGAGAGTACCGCAAGAGTCCGACCCCGAGTGATCGGCGTGGCGGTCCTTTTATCAGAAAACAACCAATGGCGTGATGACCAACAGGTGCGACGCTGGAGGAGAAGCCGTCCAACGCCACCAGTTGCTCACCAACGCAACAGAACCACGACAGTCAACTGGCGGCAGTGGCAGTGGCGCTCGGCCTCCAAGTGGCCGTCAAACTCCTTGACGCGTTGGCACCGCTCCGTGTTTCCACCTGACGAGCCGAGAATGCCAGTCCCACGTTTGCATCGCGAGCATCCAACCAGTCCGGATGGAACCGCGACTCGAGAGTTTGCCGAATCGAGCCCCATCCGGGAGCGGGTCGCCAAAACAGATTGTGTCCGAAGTTCGCGGCATCGAAATTTGATGACGGTGTTGAGGACTCGCCGTGAAAAACGAGGTGGTGCGAGGGACCTTTCATCGCTTCCACGACTGGGCGAGAGTTGCCCTGACCGCAGATTCTGCGATCGGCGTGAAATTGATTGGACACGTCTATCAAAGGAGTCTCAAAGTCCCACAGCCCAAATGAAAGTGGAAGTCGGCCATTTGGGTTTGAAGCACCCACTTGAGGCGACGTACTTATTTCGAGGACGTGCCATGAAAAAAGAAAAAAAAAAGGGAATTTCTCCTTTCGGTCCAAACAATGCAAAATGCGTGCATGCGACGTCACTTGCGAAAAGCGACACAGAGTCTTTGTGTGCGCTTTGCGGTGCGTGGGAAGGAGGCCCCGCTCCAAGCGCGTGTTGATGCTATCGAGAGTATTCAAATGACTGTAATATAATCAAGGAGAATTGTCTTGCTGCATTCCGTGCGTGCTTGTGTTAACGACATTAACCCGGGGGCCCGTTTCCTGCAAGCAAAGGTCCGGGTCCGGCGTCTCGGGCTCGTCCTTTGTGACGCCGCTCCCTCTCGGCTAAGACCGCACTCCGCACTCGCTCGCATTGCCTCGCTGCCCGTCGGCCTCAATAAGTCACTGGCGACGTCGTGCGTTTCGCGTCTTAGCTCGCGCGCAAACAAAAACTGTCAAATGTCTGCTTCCCCCCCAAAAAAGGCCAACAATTCAGTCCCGCATGTCGGCTTTCCCAACGCAACGTGCGGAGCTGCCAACTTTCCTCCGTCGTCTTCTTCTTCTTCTTCTGCTGGCAAAAACATGCAAAGCGCGCTTTGATGCTCATCCAGGTCCACTGAATATGGCGCAAGGCTATTCGGCGTGCAAATTCAATCGGTGAAGCGTAAGCGGTAACAGGAGGCCGGCTGTAGCCGCCGTGGCCGAGCGTGCCAGACTGCAGGTTCGAGCGGGGGCGCCGTCGAGGAGAAAAGGAATCCGGGCTTCTTCACTCCTGATTGATCGCAGTGTGAGGAGCGTTCTCTTTTCTCGCTGAAAGCTCGAGTAGGCCGGACGGAGCGGCGGCGGCGCTGAAGACGAGGCCAAGCAGTGGGCTCGTCCTGTCCGAGTGCTGCCGATTGAGGGTTCGCGGATGAAGAAGCTGAAAGAAGGACTCGAGACAGCGCGGCGTATGGCCTCCCAAATTATTTTCTGTCGATGTCTTCGTGTTTTGGGGGCGAAACTCCTGAATAACAGCCACTGGAAAAGCCTTGCTCATACTCCCGAAATAATTCAACTTGGGAAATGTCCAGAGGGAAGGTGCGGTTGGGGCGTAACCAACATGAAGAGCGTTCAGTGAGAGAAAATTAAATTGCGACGCTCCGTAACCGGTCAGATCACGACACTCATTGGTCGCCGTGGACGTTTAGATTCGTCAAATGGAATGCGACAGTTGACTGCCGCCCGCTATGCTCGCCGAGAACGTTTTCCAACAGGTGCGAGAGGTTAGCGGTGAACTTCGAGCTTCTCCAAACTCTCATGACGAATGGAGGCCAGTAGATGGCAGCCTTGCATCACTTTGGATTGGGAGAAGGCAGTGAATCGGGCTGTCATGTCAATTACGAGGGAGAGAAACGTCAATGCCCGCAGGCACTTTTGAGGGCACCACGCTCATCTCGAGCCACGCGCGGCGCAGATCTTTGTTATACGGCTCGAAAACAAATGAGGGTTTGGCCATCCAAAAGCCCTTCCTCAGCCGTGCTTTATCGTTGTCACAAAAAGAGACAAATCGGTGTCAAAGCCCGCTTTTCTTTGACGTTTTTTTCTTTCCACGATTCTACTTTTTGGGTCAGAAACCGGTGTTGTCGGAGAGAGCGGCCAACGTTCTACCGCTGAAGAATAGCGAATGGAAAAAGCGCCATGTTTTAGTTTTTTTTGTTTCTGCTGGTGAAAGAATTGAGGTAATGCGCTCTCTCTTTTGATCGGTTTGGTGCTCTCGCAGGAAACCAACGATGCGGTTTTGGTAACTCAAGCCAGATGGCATTTTATTTCTCCCGAGAAGTTGCGCTTGAGGAGGATTCTCCGCACCGGCGATGAAATCCGGGACATTGTGAGGAGGGCACGTGACAAAGTGCGCGTGTGCCACTCGCTCGCCCCTTTGTGAGCAAAGGGGAAAGGCTTACGTTTGTCTCTTTTTGTTCCAGAGTCAGCGGCGGTCACGTTCTCTTTCTGCCCAACTCTTTCAACCGGCGCTGCCTCGGCGGCGAGCTTTCGCTGCCTGGAAGCCAGCCAAGTGGCCAAGGACGGACGGGGGCGGATCTGCAGAAGGCCGCCCGCCACCAATCAGGCTTTGGCACTTGGTGAAAGAGACGATTTGGAGTTGGTTAGCGCTCTTCTCCCAAAAACATTCCAGGTTTCAACTCGATGAAACGCCCCCATCCGACCGAGACGCGTTTACAAGCTTGCTAAGCAATACAAAGAGTGACCGTCTGAGCTCACCCAGTGGAAATTTCACCCTTTCCGGGCCTCATTAGAAAATGAAGAAGCCCTTTAAACATCTTCCGTTTTGCATCCTTGGGCCAGTAAAAACATTTTTCCATGTGATGTCATCGGGCAGCTGCTCGTGAGCCGAAAGGAACGTGCGGACGGAGCGAGCGGGACGGGAAAGAAGGACGTGGGAAATGAAGACATGTCAGCGGGGGCCGCGGTGGGGCGGCATCAACGGACTACCTTTGAGTCGGCGGGGAGGAGACGCTTTTCCGACGACGCCCTCGACGTCCGAATGCCAATCAGACCCAACTCACGCGAACCACCGATGTGCCGCGGGGATTCAAAAGGCTGCCCGTGTTGCAGGAAAAAAAAAAAAAATCCAACTACGGTAAAGTTCGAACATTTCTAGCAACAAATATATATTGGGTGCCAGTAGGCAAAGCGCAGAAAAAGCTCAATTCTTTCAACTTTGGCGACCGGACGAAACCAGCAGCTTTTCGGGGTCAGTGTTGCCACTGCTGCCGCTGCTGCTGAAAAAAGTGCAAGCAAACGGAGAGAGTTTTGGCCGTTTTTACAAGGGACTCCTAAAATACGCAACACCTTTTCACCAGGATGCTCACGAGTTTTCTGACATGTTAAAGCATCAGAAGGACCACAATAAACATTGACTTGCAAGACAATGCATCTCACACACACACACACACACACACATACACATGCACAGCCACCCCCACATTTGTCCACTTTGATGTCAATCAAAGTGTCGTGAATTTCTGCGGCTTCCTGACATCCTGCACGGAGCCGAGCATCTTTTGGAAAAAGGCGCGTCTCGATTTTAGGACAAGCTGAGGCGAGCCTGCGCTCCTGTCACAGCCCGTTTGAATTGTGGACTTTGCAATGATGACACGTTTGGGGAGCCCGAACGTTCAGACGAGCACCGGCGAAGGCGCTCTGTCGCAATCTGTTGTTGTTCGACGACTTCCTGAACCGAAATCCGAGAGGCTCCGTGACCGCTTGCAAACCATCACTTGCACGCGCGCGCATACAAGATAGAAGAG